ACCGTAACTATATAATTAAAATAATAAATAAACTTACTTGATAGGTAAACAAAGATATACATGAACAGTTATATTTTTTATCGGATAATAGTTACTATTCATTTCAATATATCCACATATTGGTCAAGAATAAATAAAATTTTCTCACAAGGAGATTTGTCCCTCATTAAATACTATAACGACGAGTACTCCTAGAATTATTATTGTTTAGTTTTTTGAAGGTTTATGTTTTAGGTGTTCTGAGCTGGACAGTATCATGTCCTCCTTCGGGTAGACGCTGATATCCTTCTTCAGAATTCTCCCTGTACAAGCAGTAGTGTTGAATCATAAACAGGACATCATATGAAACTGATACGACTCCTAGTCCAAATTTTGCGAAGTTGCCAAATATAGACTTCCAGTCATTGTAGTTGTATGCCACAAGAAGCATCTGACCAATACTAAGAAATCCACCTGTCACGTCCATCAACACAAACACGATACTCCAGCCTTCCGTAGACTTCCGCCGGCAGTTCAAGTAGGCCTGAGGCGTGTATTTCGTGAGGGTTGAGGCTAATTTAATATATGAAAGATAATATAAAAAATTCAGCCATGGCTGATTCTTTACTAGTTCTAAAACAATGACTACTACGTAAACGAAGGAACCAAAACTCACTACGCCTAAACCAAACTTAATTAACCACGACATTTTCTGATTTCCCTTTTCGTATGAAATACACTGAAACACTAAAACAAATGACGTGAATGTCACGTGCAAGGCGAAAGCAACGTCGTTTACTTCAACAGGAATCACACCTGTGGGATTTAGTGTTTTGTATTCTTCTCGAACACCGTCGAAATATTTGAAACAAACGTTATAAATTGAATACGCTATGAACCCCACGGTGTTAAGGGCAAGATAATCGAAATTAAGACCGATGACACTTTTACGCTTCCAGTTCAGGTATATTTGGGGATAAAAGGAGAAAGACCAGGCAAAAAAATATATCCACCCGATCGTAGAACCTATGATATCAAAAATTCGGTTTCTGGACACAGACAGACGAACAAATGTTCTGGAATCACTGACGAAATCTCCACGTACAAAGATAACGGTCTCTCCCGCGACTACCGGGTTAATAACAAAATTCACAGGTTCTGTAGATCTAGCTGGTATCGTGTGGTTGTGAGGTATAATGTTCACCATGTTACACTCTGCACTGGTGCTCAGAAACACCGATACGCTGTCGTTTAAAGGTGTCGACAATAACACAGAAAGTTGCGCCGTTTCACTCACCTGCAGATATAGATCGTGAGTTGATACTTCGAGAACGACGAGGGCACGAGACAATGATATACTTATTAGTATTTCGGCGATGATGAGCCACACGCGGGTCGAGCTGATTATTTGAATGTACTGTAGCATTTCGTTGTTGGTACCAGCTAAGAATTCTATCAGAATTGTTGGAGAAAACACATTAAAATTGCCGCTGACGACTAAGTGAACACTTCTCCCGGTCAAATGCAGGTTACAAGATAACTACAGTCATGTGTGCACATGCTCGATAGATTATTAACAGGCAACCAATGGCAATAAAGATAACACGACCATATTATAGGAGGTGAGGACTTCCCCAAAACGATTAACGACGTAAAACCTTGGTTGAAATATATTTATACATTATGTCGAAAGTAGCATGCACGTGACTTTATTTTTCCTTCAAAACTTCGCCTTGAAAAAGGCCCACGGAGGATTTCCTGGTTGTTTTTTAAGAGCAAAATTACACAACGGGCTATCTGCGTTGTGCCCATAGCGTGTGTCATATCTCAATTTTAGGCGTTGTTAACCTTCTAGCTTATCGCTGGACAAAGGAATTTAAAAATTCCAGCCACCACTGTATTGTTCCAATACTGACATGGCAAAAGACTGACAAGCTCTAGTATACCATAATGTTGGAGTGTTACTGACAGGACATAGGGAACTGACAAACTTCACCACTGTGTTGTTGAGTTACTGACAGGACATAGGGAACTGACAAACTTCACCACTGTGTTGATGAGTTACTGACAGGACATAGGGAACTGAGAATATACACTACCACTGTGCTGTTGAGTTACTGACAGGACAAAGTGAACTGAAAAACTCTACCGCTGTGTTGTTGAGTTACTGACAGGACAAAAATAACTAACAAACTTCACCACTGTGTTGTTGAATTACTGACAGGACATAGGGAACTGAGAAACTACCACTGTGCTGTTGAGTTACTGACAAGACAAAATGAACTGAAAATATACCATACAACTGTCTTGTTGTGTTACTGACAGGACATAGGGAGCTGAGAAATTCTACCATTGTGTTGTTGAGTTACTGACAGGACAATGGGTACTTACAAACAACCATAAAACTGTGTTGTTGTGTTACTGACAGGACATAGAAAACTGAAAAACTCTACCACTGTGTTGTTGAGTTACTGACAGGACATAGAAAACTGAAAAACTCTACCACTGTGTTATTGACAGGACAAAGGGAACTGATAAAATACCATACAACTGTGATGTTGTGGTACTGACAGGACATAGGGAACTGAGAAATTGTATCAGTGTGTTGTTGAGTTTCTGACAGGGAAAAGGGAACTGATAAACTTCACCACTGTGTTGTTGAGTTACTGACAGGACATATGGAACTGAGAAACCCTA